GAGATGCCGCGCGCGACGTGGTCCGGCTCGTTTCGCCTGAGACATCCTCCAAACTCCGAGCCCTGATATGCCGTGCGCGAGGTGGTCCAGCCCGTTTTGCCTGAGACATCCTCGCAGCTCTGCGCTCTCTGATGCCGCGCCGAAGGTGGTCTGGCCCGTTTCGCTTGAGACATCCTCCAAACTCTGAGCCCCGAGATGCCGCCCAAGAGGTGGTCTGGCCCGTTTCACTTGAGGCATCCTCGCACTTTTGCATTCCGAGATGCCGCGCGAGAGGTGGTCCGGCCCGTATCGCCTGAGACGTCCTCCAAACTCTGAGCTCTGAGATGCCGCGCGCGAGGTGGTCTGGCGCGTTTCGCCTGAGACACTCTCGCAACTCTGAGTTCTGAGATGCCGCGCAAGAGGTGGTCCAGCACATTTCGCCTGAGACATCCTCGAAACTCTGGGCTCCGAGATGCCGCGCGCGACGTGGTCCGGCTCGTTTCGCCTGAGACATCCTCCAAACTCCGAGCCCTGATATGCCGTGCGCGAGGTGGTCTGGCCCCTATCTTCTGAGACATCCTCGCAACTCTGAGCTCTGAGATGCCGTGCGCAAGGTGGTCTGGCCCGTTTCGCACAAGACATTCTTGCAACTCTTAGCTCCCAGATGCCGCGCAAGAGGTGGTCCAGCCTGGGGGCCCAGAAGACCACATGTTACATATCCTCCTGGAAGCCCCAGGAGGCCCCAGAGAGCTCCAGGAGGCCGCAGGACGCCCAGGACAAGCCCCAGGGGTCACCAGGAGATTCCCAGGAGGCACCCTGGATGCTCTAGGAGACCCCCTATCAGAACGTGTCAGGTTAATCCACATCCGGTGTCGATTCGTTGATTGTTCCTGCTCTTGTGCCCCCCCCCCCCCCCCCCCCCCCCCCCCCCATTTTGAGGGGCCCAAGCGGCCACATGTTAGATATCCCCCCCTGGGAGCCCCAAGAGGCTTCAGGAAGCCCCAGGTGGAGTCCAGGAGGCCACAGGAGGCCCAGGAGGAAGCCCCAGGCCAGGAGGTCCCCAGGAGGTCCCAGGAGACCCCAGGAGGCCCCCGCAACTCGGAGCTCTGAGACGCCGCGCTCGAGGTGGGCCGGCCCGTTTCGCCTGAGACTTCCTCGCAGCACGTTTCGCCCGAGACAGCGTCGCAACTCTGGGGTCCGAGATGCCGCTCGCGAGGTGGTCCAGCCCGTTACGCTGGATACATCCTCGCAACTCTGGGCTCCGAGATGCCGTTCGGGATGAAGAGGAGGTGGAGGAGGAGGAGGAGAAGGAGGAGGAGGAGGAGGAGGAGGAGGATAATGAGAAGGAGATGGAAGGGAGAAGGAGGAGCATGATGTGGATGAGGGAGCAGGCAGGAGGAGGAGGGGGAGGAGGAGGAGGAGGAGGAGGAGGAGGAGGAGGAGGAGGAGGAGGAGGAGGTAGAAGGAAGGGAGTTGCAGGAGAGGACCTAACGGGAAGCGAATGTGACGTGGACTTGTCAGAACGTGTGCGAGAGGTTGTCCGGCCCGTTTCGTTTGAGACATCCTTCCAATACTGAGCTCCACGATGTCGCTCGCGAGGTGGTCCGGCCCGTTTCGCTTGAGCCATCCTCACAATGCGAAGCTCGAAGATGTTGCGCGCGAGATGGTCTGGCCCGTTCTGCCTGAGACGTTTCGTAGCACAAGGGCTCCAATCACAATCTCTCTCATTCCTTCTCCCGCCTCCCTCTTCCCGCTTCCCGCCTGGCTCCTCTTCCCTCCTCCCGCCTCCCGCCTCCCGCTGCTGCGCCTCTGCCTCCGCATCCCCGTCCCTGCCGTCGTCGTTTCTGCCGCCTCAGCATCCGTCAGGCGCGCGCTGCCTTCCGCCCTCCCCAGACATCAGACGTCACGATCTTTCTTTTGAGACGTGCGGTTCATGGCCCTGTACAGCCCGAAGGCGCCGTCGCGGCCCGTGTAGGTGAAGCCCGCTTTGAAATCTGGCCATCCCGGCTGCGGAGCCAACGACGGCGGCCCTGTTGCCAGAGACGATCGGGGTGTTGTACTCGGTGATCGCTGTCGGAATGCCGCTGATCCTGCAGGCGGCAAGAGACTCAATGAAGTCGGCTGGCTGCCCGTACCCCATCTCATCGGACTGATTCTGGCCCGTCCTAGAGCCAATGGCAGGAGAAGAAGCCAAGGGGAGCAGGAGCGCCAGAGGACTGCACTGTGTTCTGGAAGCCCTCGATCCAATCGCTGCCGAGGCCCTCGTGAGAGTCACAGGGCAGGAGGCCTGAACCTGTGCCAGTCGCTGGCCCTCCCACGCGTATGCACGCTCTCGAGGCCGGCGTGCGACCTGACCGTCGCGGCGACGACGACGACCACGACCGCGATCACGACCACGACGACATCTCGTCGACGCCGCCGGCGCCCACGGACGACGGAGAGAGCCACGACCGCGACCACGACGCCGACAGCGGCGGCGGCCGGCGGCGGCCGGCGGCGGGCGGCGGCGCGGGAGCCCCCACGCGGAGCCGCCACGCGGCCTTAGGGCAGCGGCCGTGCCAGCCCCGCGGAGGAGGGGGCCGAGGCAGCGCTGCTGCTGCGCAGCTCGGCGGTGGCCACGCCGTCGCGCTGGGCGGAGGCTCGTCGGGGAGCGGCCGGGCGCGAAGCAGGTCGGGGTGGACCACTCGTTCACAGGGGGACGGACAATATCATAAACATAGATACTCGGAGGTCCGCGCGGGCTTCTCTGATCGGCGCTGGACCCCCCCCCCCGGCGCGCGGAGCGCGCCAGGGGCGGCGCCAGAGGCGCCATCAAGGGGGTCCAGCGCGGATCCAAGAAAGCCGCGCGGACCTCCGAGTTTTTCTAATTATGTCATTGTTCGTTCCCCTGGCTCATGAGCTCCACTCCTCCGAAGCCTTCGGGAAAGCTCGCCTGTCGAGAGCGCCTATGCCAGGCCTGCCGGGGGCGCCAACCGCTAGAGGGTCGTTGCAGCGCGGGGCGATCTTCAGTCCCAGTCCTCCTGGCCATTCTGACTCTGGAGGTGGTGGGCCACGGCTTCCAGCCAGCGTAAATCGAGGGCGGTATCCCGACCCTCGTGACGTTCTGCTTGTCGACGTGGGCGAGCCCCGTCAGACGCGTGGACCGCCGCGAGTTGGCGGGTGTCTTGAGCACCGGAGCGGCGCCCGCTTGGATCATAGAGGTTAGCACGAAGTCCGAGGCCTTCAAGTTCCAGTTGGCGACGTCGAGCGGATCTGGGATACCAACGAGAACGTCGACCAGAGACATGCACGGGAGGTCAAGGCCCCGCAGGCCTCGTGCGGCCGGAGGGAGGCGAGGCCCGCGCGGAGAGGCCTCCTGCACATGAAGCCCATCAGCTGAGAGGAAGCGATGCCCGCGTTCAGGTGGCCAGCAGTGTAAGGGCGGTAAGGCTGTGGCCCGTCGCTTGCAGCCAGCAAGCTTGGTGGGATGAAGCTGGCCGCCCCGCACTGGCTGGCACCGCACCGCCCGCCATGCTTGCGAGGGAGCTGGACGAGGCTCCCGTCTTCGCAGCCTCCACCGTCCGACGCCACGCAGGGATCCTCGCCGCGAGCGAGGGCCCCCCGCGCCCGCTGCCAGGAGGGCGACCAGCGGCGTCGGCATCGCTCGGGCGCGCGCGGTCTTTGAGGCGACACTGCGATGTGAGCCAAATTGCACCCCAGAGATTGCACCGCATAGGCTGCACATCGAAAGTGCACTAACCCACTGTTTGGGCTCCACGCTTGCGCGCTGGCAACTATTTACTCAAATCGTCCGAAGCGGGGCTGCGCGCAAGAGAGCGGAATGGTCCGCTCGCCTCAGCGGCCCGCCAATTTCTCGCCAAAGCCGGGCTCCCAGCGGGGACTGGTGCCGACCGCTGAGTAGTGCAGGGCAGGGCGAGGCAACGCCGTGAAGTGCGACGCGAAGCGGGACACAACCAGACAGAGCAAGGGAATGCAACACTCAGGAGCCGGCGCCTCTAGGAGGTGCCCAGGGGAGCGGGGATGAGGAGGATGAGGAAGGGAAGGATGGAAGGAGGAGGAGGAGGAGGGGGACGAGGAGGAGGAGGATGAGGAAAAGGGAGGGGGGGTGCAGCCGCCAGAAGGGGCGCCGAGCGCTGCGAGCGATTCCCCAAGAGCCCCAGGAGCCGCGCCCAGCCGCACCATAGCCTCCAAAGAGGCTTCTTGTACAGAGCAAGCACAGGGGCACCCACAGGCGACGCCCGACTGAAGAAGATCCTCGTTCTGTCCCTTCGCCGCAAGCACTACACCAGCAGCAGACGCCCATGCGCTACACTCGAACGCGTCGTGGCTAACACACGCCGCCACGCCGCTGCACACGAGCATCGCAAGCTCCCAGAGGAGGAGCGCGGAAAACACCTCGAGCAAACTCTTGACTACCTACTAGACCACCCCACCCAAACCCGAAGACCCGAATTTCGGGTTTGGGGGGTACGGGCATCATCTGTGTTTTCAAATGTTCCCCGCCCCCCCCCCCCACACTGGGAATGGAGGGCAAATCGGGGCCTTCGGGTTGGGTTGGGGTGGTTTGGTGGAAGATGAGCGCTGAGTCAACCCTGCCCGCGCCGACCAGTGCGCGCGCGAAGGGGCAGAAAGCGAGCCAGCTTCCCGGATGCCTGCGGGAGGCGCCAGGGGCACGACAGTTGGCCCCCTGGCGCTGAGAGCAACGTGCGAATGAAGGGCTCGACCCTTGGGACGCACAAGGACATACTAGTTTGGTTTGTGCCCTCCTCGGAAGCGCGCGTTCGACCCGAGCATATAGCAAAACCATAGTATAGTGTATCGCTTCCCGAGCGGTATGGCCAGACAGCGCCCGCCACGGAGCTCATACTAGAAGGTTTCTCGGTGTGCGCATCGCCCCTGGGGGGGGCGACGCACACACAGTATTAGTATGGCGGGGTGACGCTGAACCCTGGCCCTCTCTATCCTTCTTATTCTTCTTCTTCTCGCCGTCTTTTCCCTGCCCTGGCACAGCCCCGCCCCACGCTGAGTATGCCGATGGCGTTGAACACGGGCACCAGAAACATGAAGCATATCAGCACCGACATCCTGGCTCGGAGACTGGGGAGAGGGAGGATCGGAGGAGGGAGAGGAGGAGCATGCGGAAGAAATTGATGGTGAGGGGAGGAATGAGCTGAAGATCAACAAACTGCATAACCATCCGCCAGGGTGGCCCAACGCAAAATCCAAGAAATCTGCGCGGACCTCCGAGAACGTATGTCTACCAAGTTCTTAGCCATTATAACGCAAGGCGGGACGCTAAGCTTCAAGAAGAGCAAACTTCAACCTTTGGCCTTGGGTTTGAGCTTGAAGCTTCAAACCTGGTCTGGCTGCTTTGATCGGTCTGATTTGGCCTCAGCGCTGAAGCTTAAGCTTGGGGTTCGGGTGAGAGTGGTTTAGGTGAGGAATCAACGCCAACCACTACGACCGCAACACCGTTGATGTTGCTTTGCCGTTTGTGTTGCATTGCAGCTCGTTGTACATTGCAAATTTTATCAACGCAATGTTCGAGTGCATCTGGTCTGGGTGGTCCGACTGGTCTGCTTTGAGTTTCGTGCTGAAGATTTAGCTTAGGATTTGGGCAAGAGTCGTTTAGGGGAGGTCCAGGGAGGCAACGCCAACTAGTACGACTGAGACACCGTTGTGATTACATTGGCGGATGCGCGGCATTGCAGTTTTTTCTGCAATGAATTGTCTGTTTGCATCTGGTCTAACTGGTTTGGTTGGTCTCGTTTGAGCGTAGCGCTGAGCTTTAGCCTAGGATTCGGCGGGAGTAGTTCAGGGGAGGTTCAGGGAGGCAGCGCCAACCACTACCACCCAACACCAGTTGTTTTGCATTGCTGTTGCCTGTTGCATTGCAGCACGTGGCACATGGTTAAAGCGGACGTGAAAGACTTGTACCTCGTCGGCTCAGAGGATGAGTTGGTGGGCATTGTGCTCAGCCTCTTCGATGCGCATGACCCCGTCCTCCCTGTGCTGGGGGAGGTGCTGCGGTTCTTCCTCACAAACCAATTCGTTGTGGATCCATTTGACAGCGCAGGTGCCCTGTACCAGGTGCTTCAAGGCACCATGATGGGGCTGCCGCGCAGCGGGGAGCTAAGTGATGCTGCTCTTCTGGGGTGCATGGAGCAAAGCGTCCTCGCACCCGCCTTCCGCTGCCAATGCGGTGTGCAGGCGTACTTGCGCTTCCGGGATGACATACTCATATTTTTCGGGTCTGGCGAGTCGCACGTCTGGACCCTTCGTGGAAATGATGCGTAAATGCTCACGCTGGTACGTGCTAGACATTGAATTCGCGCATCGCGAGGTGGATTTTTTAGAAGTGACGGTGCTCAGGCGCGAGGGTCGTTTCGAAGTTGGCCACTGCATGAAACCGTCGGCTCTGAATCCAACCCTCGGCGTTGGCAGCTCGCAGTGTCCATCGATACACAAGGCATGGCCTGAGTCATACATATCTAGGGTTGCTAGGCTTTGTTCTGATGACGATCTCACCACCGAAGCATTCCAGAATGTCATTGGGAGACTCCGCGGGAGTCTGACGAGTGACATCACTGTGGCCCTCTTCAGGGATGCAATCGAGGAGCTCAAGGTTCCCAGGCTCCTCTCTGTCAGACCTGAACTTTTTTGCTTGGCCGTTTTTCCGTATCATCCTCTGCTCGCAAGCCTGGTCCAGAGAGCGATACGGGATATGAATTCGAATGACACTCTGAACGCATGGCTCGCTGCTTCCATGGGGTGCGGCACGCAGCGAGCGATCGGAGTAGGTTGGAGGAATGCGGTTCCGTCTCTGATGGGGCTGCTCGAACCCAGGCTATTTTGATCAGTAGTTTATGGATGGATGGATGGATGGGGGCGGTGGCGGCTGGTCATTATTATCACGACGTAGCTTTTTGGCTCCAGGAATTTAGAGGAGCGAGCTTTAACTCACGGTATCCGCACGCAACGGCGGATCACTCCTGAGAGCGTTGGAAAACCCTATTTGCCTTGACCCCCTTGCACACTCGTTCGGAGGCAACGCCAACTACTACTACTGCGACCGAGACACCATTGTGTTCACATTGGCAGATGTGGGGCATTGCAGTATTTGCTGCAATGAATTGTTTGTTTGCATCGGGTCTAACTGGTTTGGTTGGTCTCGTTTGAGCGTAGCGCTGAGCTTTAGCCTAGGATTCGGGCGGGAGTGGTTCAGGGGAGGTTCAGGGAGGCAGCGCCAACCACTACCACCCTTCCCCAATCAGGGCTTGACTCTGTAGGGGTCCTAGCGGATTCAGATGGTTAGATTAGGTTTGTCGTCGACCTTCGCTGCACGCCTGGGTGCCCGGGTGCCCGGGGTGCCCGGGGCCTGGGTGCCCGGGGGGGGCCCAGGGGTGTTCGGGTGCCCGGGTGCCCGGGCGTGCCCCGGGGTGCCCGGGGTTGCCCGGGGGTGCCCTATAGCCCTGTAGCCCTAAGCCCTATAGCCCTATAGCCCTATAGCCCTATTGCCCAATAGCCCTATAGCCCTACAACTCTATAGCCCTATAGCTCTATAGCCCTATAGCTCAATAGCCCTATAGCCCCCTAGCCCTATAGCCCAGATTGGTTTTTTTCTCTGGTACCATTTTGCATTGCAGTTTTTTCTGTTGCATTGCAGCATGTCTTTTGCAAAAAAGTTGTTGTTGGCATCCTGTCTGGCTGGTTTGGTTGGTCTGCCTTGAGTTCAGTGCTGAAGCTTTGGCTTAGGATTCTGGCGAGAGTGATTTACGTGAGGTCCAGGGAGGCAGCGCCAACCACTACGACCGCAAAGCAGTTTTGTTTCGCGTTGCAGAGTTTTGGTGTTACAGTTGTTTGTGTTTCATGTCAAGTTGTTGATGTACCTGGCCTGGCGGGTCGTGCTTGAAGTTAGTGCTGAAACTGTAATATCGGATTCTGGCGAGAATGGTTTAGGGGAGGACCGGGGAGACAGCGCTAACCACTACGACCGAAAACACAGTCTGTGTTGCATTGCAGTTGTTTTGCAGTGTATTTTGTTTGAATAGCAATTGGTTTTGCGAATTGTCTGGCTGGTGTGCCTGGTCTGTGTTGGCCTTAGCGCTGGAGCTTTAGCTTAGGATTCGGGCGAGAGTGTGTTAGGGGAGGTCCAGGGAGGCAGCGCTAGCCACTACGATCGAACAAACATAGTTGGTGTTGTTTTGCATCTATGTTGCAATGCAGCTGTTGCTTGCATCTGGTTTGACTGGATTTTGTTGGTCTCTTTTGAGCTTAGCGCTGAAACCTGAGCTTAGGATTCGGGCGAGGTCCAGGGAGTGGTTCAGGGGAGGTCCAGGGAGGCAGCGCCAAGCACTACGACAGGAAAACCTGTTGCTAGCTTGCAACTTTGTGCATTGAAGTGGTTGTTTCATCTGGTCTGGCTGGTTTTCATTGGCCTGAGTTTAGCTTAGTGCTACTGCTTTAGCTTGGGCGAGAGTGGTGTAGGGGAGATCCTTGGAGGTAGCGCCAACCACTACGACCGAAAGACCGTTTGTGTTGCATTGCAGTTAGTTTGCATGGCAGTTTTCTTTTGCAAGCAGTTGGTGTTGCAACTGGTCTGGCTGGTTTGCCTGGTGTGGTTTGAGCTTTGTGCTGAAGCTGTAGCTGGGGAGTCCGGCGAGAACGGCTTAGGGGAGGTCCAGGAGGGCAGCGCCAACCACTACGACCGAACCACATTATGTGTGTTTTGCAGCGCAAGTGTTTTGACATTGCAGTTGTTTTGCAACGCAGTGTTTGCTTGCATCTGATCTTGCTGGTCTGGCTCGAGCCTGGCGTTGAAGCTTTGCCCTCGGATTCGGGCGAGAGTGGTTTAGGGGAGGTTCAGGGGGACAACGCCAACCACTATTACCAAACAGCCATGTGCTTGCAGTGTAGTTGTTTTTGCATTGCATGTGTTGTTTGCAGTGCAGTTGTTGATTGCATCTGGTCTGGTTGGTCTGAGTGGTCTGGCTTGGGTTTGGAGCTGAAGCTGTAGCTTTGAATTCGGACGAGAGTGGTTCAGGGGACGTCCAGGGAGGCAGCGCCAACCACTGCGACCTAACAACATGTTGTTTTGCATTGCGTCGCAAGATCGTTTGCATTGCAATTGTTGCGCAGCTGGTCTTGCTGGCCGCCTCAGCCTTTGCATGTTGTCTGGCTGGTCTGACTGGTCTGCTTTGAGCTTACTGCTGAAGCTTTGGCGTGGGATTTTGGCGAAAAGGGATTCGGGGAGGTCCAGGGAGGCAGCGCCAAACACTACGACCGAAACACACTTCGGTTGCATTGCATCGTGTTGCACTGCAATGTGGTTTGCATTGCGATTTTAGTTGCAATGCCAAGTTTGTTTTCATCTGGTCTGGCCGGTTTGGTTGGTCTCGCTGGAGCGTAGCGCTGAAGCTTTAGCTTAGGATTCGGGCGAGAGTGTGTTAGGGGAGGTCCAGGGAGGCAGCGCCAACCACTCCGACCGAAATACAGCTTTGGTTGCATTGCAAAGTTTGGCATCGCAGTGTCTGTTTCATCTGGACTGGCTGGTCTGGCTGGTATGGTTTGAACTCAGTACTGAAGCTTTAGCTCATTCGAGCGAGAGTGTTGTAAGGGAGGTCCAGGGAGGCAGTGCCAACCACTACGACCGAACATCAGTACTGTGTATTGCAATTTGATGTTGCATTGCAATTTGTTGTGCAACTGGTCTGGTGGTCGCTTCAGTGTTTGCATCTGCACTGGCTGGTCTGGCTGGTATGGTTTGAGCTTAGTGCTGAAGCTTTGTATTATGATTCGGGCAAGAGTGGTTTAGAGGAGGTCCAGGGAGGCAGCGTCAACCACTACGACCGAACAACCGTTGCGTGTGCACTGCGATGTGTTTTGACATTGCAGTTCGTTCGCAATGCAGTTTGTTTGCATCGATTCTGGCTGGTCTGGTTGGTCTGGTTTGAGCTTGATGCTGTAGCGCTTTAGCCCTAAGCTTGCACGCAAGAACACAATGCTCTTCGCATTGCATGTTTTATCGTAATTGCATATGTTGTGCATTGCACTGTTGTTTCGGAGCTCCAGCGAAGCTTTCGCTG